CAACATTTTTCCAGACTTTTTTGACTTGCAAAACTGGCAAAACCAAAACCAAAAAACAATGCTGCACATCCCCCTTAACCAACAACATTGGGTAGAGTGTAATGGTGTTGATGCTATCAGCTGTATGGATGATTTTCTTATATAGAATCACAGAGGTTAGTTGAACCTGATAGGTTAAATGGAGCAGAGAAACCATGGATGATAGTTTCACCGTACAGGAGGGTCGTGACACTAACATGCAGCGATCTAGACCTGCAGCTAATATCAATATCAGTATATTAATTTGTTCCAGACCTAAATCTAATCCTGCCCAGACTTGAAAATTGATCTCACAAAAAAAAAAAAAAAATACGCCATAGGTTTGCAGCTGTATTTTAGCAGAAGCCGCTGCAACAAAAATGTCAGGGGGACTGAGCAGTGATGGTGACTTTAGTATAATAATAATTCTGAAACTATGTTTAATTTTCCTCCACTTTGCAATCTTCTGTACTTGTGATGGTTTAGTTATAGGGTTAAAAAAAATGAAAATAAGTTCAATGAGTATTAATACTTTTGAATGTAGATTAACCTAGTCATTCCAATATATTTTTGTGTTACAGGTATGGAGATTCAGCACTGCATTTACTCCAGTGTCCTCCTGGGGTTTTACTGAGGTGCCCAGCATGTCCGTTCACCTAAAGAAGTGCCCCTTCAATGTAGTAGAGCAGAAGACGGAGCCCATACCCCTACCTGCCATGTGCACCGAACGAGATGGCCTGTCACTCCGGCGTGTTCTGCGTCACGTTAACACTTGACCAAACAAAGCTGAGCTGCATGAGATTAGCTGAAACTTTACATGAATGTTGTGAATGAAACGAAACGGATTCCAGTTAGATTTGATTTTGAATAAAACTTAATGCAAAACAGACTTCAGGTCTGCTATAAATGGTTTGTCCATGGGACGTGAAGCAGCATTTGGCTTTGCATGGGCTTTTCCTGAAAGTGCACCTATATTCTGCTAAGATAAAACACTTTTGACAAAGATAATTGTGCACAATAGATTTATGCTATTATGAACTTTAAATTAATGTTATGTTGCCTTTTACCTGTAGCCATGGGAAAAAAAAAAAACGTTCATGTAAAAACTCCATTATTTCTTTATATCCTAAACCATGTCAGCACTTTATAACTCCACCCAAACTGAAAAGTGAACTTCGTTTTAAAGAGCTTCTGATTCCTTCAAAGGGTCAAGCACAGTCCACGTGTTATGTTGACATCTGATGTTTGGAGTATTAACAGTTTATATCACAAAATGACTAATGTACCTGATTGCTGCATTTGAATAAAGTGTTTACTAAATTTTTATTTTTGCCTTTGAGCCGTCCTTGAAAAATTAACTTCTATGTTGGTGAAAGCTATTTGATCAGAGGCTACGTTAAACCTACGTATCAGTTCATTATACAGCTCATTGTATTGCTGAAAATAAACAAGAACAAAACTTACTTTCTACCAGGGCTGCAAGAATTAAATGATGGAGGCGAATCTGGTCTGGAAACCTAAAAAACATTTAAGTCAATTTTGAATACTTAAAATATATATGCCGTTACCTAAAATGTCTACAATTTTACCCAAATTATATAAAAAATGGTAAAAATTTGTGATTTTCTTTGGTTCCAGAGACTTAACATGGAATGTTACTTAAGCCCAGGTGTTGGACACAGGTGTTGAACATGATCCAAATCTTTCCCAAACTCTATAGTTACAATTCTCCAAATTTCTTTTTTTATCTTCTCTACTTTTTTCTTCCACTCAACTTTTAATATGTTTAAATGCAGCAATTTAAATAATTTGTTTTCAATGGGTTTTAGCTGGATATTAGCCTTAAATTAGTCTTATTTCCTGATTGTGTAGGCCATACCATTTCTGTAGCAGACATTTTTTTATTTGCCTTATCTAATATTCACCCTTTGGGTTTTATTAGCTGTAAGAATAACCACAGTTAGCCTACATATTTATTACCTTTTGGGGAATGTGTAAGTCCATCACAGGAATATGCTATATTGTGGAGAATGGCACGTGATTGTGGGACTAAAAGTGTGGGATCGACTCCAAACATTGGCCATGCAAAATTCTGAGGCGACAGCAGAACTAAAGGTCATTTGATACAGTAATCTTTTCACGAGCTTCATCATTCTAAAAACCATGTTGGATTATTCATGCAAGCAAAATGAGAAGCCTTTTTAATAGATATCTAATTAAGGGATGAATGTAGCTATAAATAGATACATACACTTACAGATGTCATTGGCAGTAAGTGCAAAGAGTCCTCTGGGAGTGTACAACATGGGTTGCAATGTCTAAAACATATTGCCAATCTGACTTCATTCCTAAATGTGGGTGAAATATACAAACTAACAATCTATTTGTATATGTATGTTTTTTTTCGTACAAATTCAGACACTACAGGATTTCTGAGATTTAAAGTTCACAGAAAATTCACAAGAAGTGCTTTTTAATTTTAGTACATCACCTGTATTTCAACTGGCATCAGTTTTCTCTCTAACCCGCAGTCATATACAAACGATTTCCATCCGTCACCCTGGCTGGTATCCCACCCATTTTCCTCTGGTCAAACAGAAATACATTGCCTTTCTGTGTATGATAAAAGGGTTTGATAACTGTTATAGTGAATGCCATAATTATGTACTGTGCTTTGCAAAGACACTGATAGCACTACAACGTTTCCATGTTAAAGAACAAACTTACCTTGTTTGACTGGGATTGTGCGCGATGGATTAAATATGCATCTTAATGTCAGATTGTAAAATCCTTTTCATCATTTAAAAACACTGCAAGTTCTAGGTTGAATCAGTTTTCAGTCCCATTTATAATTTAGAGAAATTTAAAGTTATAAGATTAGAAAATATTCATCTTCTACCACTTGTCCATCAGGGTCTCAGCATTAGGGTCCTAGTACAAACCCGTGATCCTTCTGTTTCAGTGGTGTGCTTAGGCAAGACTCTTCACAGTTGCATTTCCAGTCTAGCTTGTTTTCCAAGGGAACACCAAGGTGTTTATACTCCGCAACTGCCTCCACTTCTCCCATGATGTTAATAGGATTCAACGTTTTCCAGTTTGTTCTGAAATCTACAATCATCTCCTTTGTTTAGTTGACATTAAGGATCAGATTATTGTTCCCACAGCTCACCACGAAGCTGTTCAACAAGCTCTCTGTACTCAGGTTCTTGTACATATTTGATGACTTCAGAGTGAACCAAGTATTTCTACAGATAAGACTCTGGTCCTGGAAGTCAGAGGTGTACAGAGTAAAAAGGAATGGCGAGAGTACAGCCACCTGTGGTGCTGCTACTTGACAGTCAGTGTAACAAACTGTTGACGCCTCCACCTGTATTCTGGAATTTCTCAAAAAGGAAGTCAGGCTGAATAGTGTTAAAAGCACTGGAGAAATCAAAGAACCTCACAGTGATGTCTGCCTTGTCATTGTGAGGGAAACAGATCTATAGTCACTGAGGACTTGGTGGAGTCTTCTTTCATACTGAAACAACCTACTACACTTTAATGTATAAAGTCAATCCAGCTGTATATAAGACATCCTGATTGTACATATGACACCTCAAATCTCTGTGTTACTCCCTTGTATTTTTTTATTTCTTTTTTTTATTCTGTTTTTCATACATGTACACTTGACCTTAATCCTTATTTATCTTGATATATTGTATATATATTGTTTATTCTTAATGCACCTTTTCCTCCTTGTTTGCACCTTCTTTTATTACTATGCCAATATATGACCAGTGAATTTCTCCACTGTGAGATCAATAAAGCTCATCTAATCTAATCTAATCTTAACAAGACAGGTCTTCCACATCACTGGAACTGTCTCCAGGGTCAGACTGAGGTTGAAGATGTAGAATCTGTAGAATCCCACAGAGCTGTTCTGTACAGGCCTTCAGCATTCTGGTGACTTATTATGATTAAGTCTCTCCAGTTACCTCTTCAGTTGACTTCTAGAGACAGGTGGGTGAAAGCTGGAGGGAGCAGCACTATCTTCTGATTTGGCTGATAAACTAATAGAAGCAGGTGAGTCAATGTCAGAGGAGGGAAGGATGTCCATGTGACTGTAGGAAGACTTTTTTCAGACTTTGAAGGATCCAGTCCAAATAGACCGTGTTCATGGAGGTCGCAGCCTCTGAAATCAAACACATCCCATATCTTATTTCCCTAAAAGTATTGTATGTAATAAAAGAGCTGAAAAAACCTAATTGAAACTGCTAAGGGATCTTCTAATAGAACTTTAAATGAAAATCCTATATATATAAAAAAAAATAGATGCTGTCTAATTGTCCTTGCAAAATCATAATTATAGTTGACAAAAATGTGTGATTCTCAAAAAATTCTTAAGTAGAGCTGTTTTTTTCAGTGTCATGTTGCCTCATTCTGTAATGCAAACGTGTTAAACTTTAGCCTTCAGATCAAGTTGGGGCCTAAACTGTATCACTACAGGTCCTTCCCACAATATTAGCATATTGTGATAAAGTTCAATATTTTCGCTAATGTAATAAAACTTGAACATTCATATATTTTAGATTCATTGCACACTAACTGAAATATTTCAGGTCTTTTGTTGTCTTAATACGGATGATTTTGGCATACAGCTCATGAAAAACCAAAATTCCTATCTCACAAAATTATATTATGAAAAAGGTCTAACTTAACCATCTGGATCAACAAATTAACTCTAAACATCTGCAAAAGATTCCTGAGGCCTTTAAAACTCCTAGCCTGGTTCATCACTCAAAACCCCAATCATGGGTAAGGCTGCCGACCTGACTGCTGTCCAGAAGGCATTTGGATATAACTTAACCCCCACAACTTAATGGTGAAAAAAAACTGTAAATCAGAATAAGACCTAAAAAAAAATGTTGAATTCATTGTTTCAATAAAGATTGGGTATTTTGATGCTGTTTACTACAAGGACAAATTCTGGAATAGATTTTAAAATGTTTATTGAATATAGTTTATTTTAAGCATTCATGGCTTAGGAAGTACTATAGAAAATACATGATTATACAAAGTTGTAAAGAAAAACAAATATGAAGCCTAACTGTGGTTATGCTCACTTGGCCTCTGCAAGCCTGGATTTGTATCTAGGTTTACAATAATCAAAAGCAACAAACAAAACATTTACTTTGGTGAAAAAACCCCGAATCATTTAAATTTACAATCATTGAAAAGTAGAACACAACACACAGTACATAGTCATCTTAAAGAGCCTTGATAACAGGAGAAGCCAGCAGAAAAACAGCAAGTATCTGCAGGCCTTGTTTCTAAATGGTTACACTGTTCTCTATCACCGCAGGGTTCAGATATGGGTACGGTACTTCAAGCTGAGCATTTCTAGCAGTAATTTCTTCTCCTAGGTAAGACAACTCAGCTTGAAAATCCTGAATCATCTCCTTAAGGGCCAGCTCTTGGAAATGCTCCTCTGGGTATGTACCCAACGGGACCTGCAGTCAGAAGAGAGGCAATAAGTTAAATAGAGGAATATTCAAAGAGTTGTAATAACTCTAGTTTGTCTCTAAACTTACCACATCAGTGTAGTTGTCTGAAAGAATCCAAGTAGTTGACACGATATTTACCGTGTCTCCAATATTTGGGAGAGCATCCAGAATAGTCTGCATGCTGGACTGCCCCTTAGTGGATGGAGGTGGTTTACATAACATAAGGGAACCATTGGGCATCCAAGAGTTGTAGTCATACTAGAAAAAAGTTTTGTAAATATATATTTTCATCAATTATGCATAAAAAACATAACAGTTGGGCTTCAATTTACTATTAAAAATATTATTTATATGACTACAATCACAATGTTTCCTAAACCTTTCAATCATTTACAAGAACCCAAGTAAATACATGAACCCACCTGTCCACCATTAACAGCAGCATGCTGTACTGACACTCTAAAGACCACCATGGTGATAAACTTGACCACTTCATCCACAGTATTGAAGCGTGATGGAAAACCTATTGACACCAGCATAAAAAAAGCAATAACAGAAACTTGATTTACTGTAGAAAAAATATTACAGTTATTATTTATAAGGACTCTATAAATGTTGGGATGTTCGATATTTACCTCCCTGCTTGTTTTGTAGGAAACCATGTGTGAATATCTCATTGATCCACTCTTGCAACTCTGTGTCTTTGCACACGATACTGTCTGAGGTGTAGTAGAACTCCACCACAGACCTCACAAAACTAGAGTGTGGAAAGAAAAAAAAAAATTGCTGCCACTGTAAATGTGGGTTTGCTGTATTATTCTGCCAATACAGCACCTTGCAAAAGTAGTTATACGTAAACTTTAATACATTACAAAAAAAACTTTTTAAAAGATTTTTAATTAAAGCACAGCAAAATAATGTTTAAGCTCATTAGGAGAAATTGATGCAAACTGAAAAGCACTGTGTTTATTTGTATTCAGCCCCCTTCACTCTAACGCCCTGGAGAAAAAAGTTCAGCTCAGCTAAGTGTCTTCTGTTGTTTAATAAGAAACATCTATCTTTGAGTTATTAAAATCTCCTTATGGATACAGGTAACCTATTTTGTAAAGAAGTTTGTTAGAGAACCAGCAGGGGTACAGCAGATGTAAAGCACTGGGCTCTGTCAATCGAGTGTTAAAAAACAAAAAGAATATGGGAGAACAGTAATCTACCAAGGCCTGTTCAATCTGTAGACTAATAAACCATTAGAGAAATAGAGAATGGTGGGAACTCTGAAGGAGCTTCACTGATGGTCGGTTCAGGCAGTGGTGGTGATGATGATCTCTTGACAGGACTGTCCAACATCAAGTCCCACAACAAATCTCTGCTTGATAAAAGCATGCAGCTAAAACGCCTCTTGTTAAAAGAAGTCCCAAAAGACTGTTTGGGGAACATTTCAGAAAAATAATGCTGCATGAAACCTTGAACACTACCTCCAAATCAACAAGTTATATGCTGTTGGATAGCTTTTACTGAGCAAGGCAGGGGTCTTTTTCAAAGTAATTTGTTTAACCTCAAGCAATTTCTCATGGAATCTACAAATACAGCTTTAGGAAAAGGATTTGTAGGAAATTGCTCACATGAGACCAAATTAGGGTTGGAGAATTGTTAAGATAAAGTACTAATAAAATAAAATAAAGCTTGTCACTTCTATTTCATTTAAAGTCCAGATTGTGTGAATTTATATTTTATGTATTTGCAATACACTGTATACTGTTGTTACTGTCTTTATGTTTCTCTTAAACAACCAATTCTCAACTGTGGACATAGATATTTTTCCTTACAAAAAATTTTAATAGATTACCTGTTGATATGATTCCACAGCTTCATTGCATCATCTCTGTAGTAGAAGTTTGGAATAGATTCCAGTCCCCGTGCAGCGATGTTCTCTGGCAGACAGAGGGAGCTGTAGGTCATCCCAGACAGAAATCTGCCCAAGAGCTCATTCAAGCCCTCCACTCCAAGCGAGGTCTATTTGTCATAAAGTCAAACTCAGTTTGTCATAAAGTCAAACTCTTCATGCAGCCAAAACTGAATTGTAGTTTCAGAAATGCATGCATAATAGATTGCTATACCTTGCTCAAAGGCCCACCAGGTCCAAGAAGAGTTTTCCGGCCTACTATATTTATGTGCAGAGTGTAACGGAGGTGAGGGCTCAGCAGCTGTATAGATTACATAAGAAAAATAATAAAAAATCTCAAACTAAGAGGAGCATTGCTTCATCATTGTTATTGTGTCCGCTGATACCTTATAAAGAGGATGAATGGTTGGGAAGCAGCGGAGAGTAGCAACAGCAAAGACCTCTGCCAGGAAGTGAGTGTTCATGAGGTGATGGACCGTCTGATATTCAATTGCGTCTGAACATTTAAAGAACAACTTGGCCAGAAGCCAGTCTGATTCCAGATCACTTGGCAGAAAGATGGGGTTCTGCTCAGAGGGCTGTTGGTGAAGCTGCATTGAAAAGGTTACGGAAAAGATTTTTGTGAGACTAATAACAGAAACACATTGGACATAATGATCAATGATATTCAACTAAAACAAAACGTTATTCTCTATTTAATCTATGCTTGCAATACCTGGATTGCAATTGGAATCAGTTTCCCCTCAGGTGTCACATAGAACAAGCACAAACCAGCGGTCACATACAGAGGATTTCCATCATCTATTCTGGCTGGTATTCCATCCATTATCTTCTGGTCACAGATGAATATGTTGCCTTTCTGCAAAAATTACAAAGGGTCATCTTGAAACCCAGCAAAAAATTTGAACATAGTGACAAAATGTTGTGGAAATGCATAAAGATAAATATCAACAGATGAACAGTTTTTTCAAACCTCCATCTCCTTCTTCAGGGTGGTTCCAGTTGCCAGAAAAGGTCTAACCATCTCATCTGTCACTGGAAAATTTGGAGGAAGTTTGGTGCAGCGGCTGATCACATTGGGGTTTGTTGCATTTAAAAACTGGAATCCAAAGAAGTCATCTTCCTTCCAGTGCTCTGAAACATATTCTGCAAAAAGAATGGTAAAAAAAAATAAAACATATCTTAAAGTATGCCATATATATATATATATATATATATATATATATATATATATATATATATATATCATGGGAAGAGCAAGTATTTACGTCGGATTTTAAATAATGAGTATTTACCTTATTGCATGTACCCAAGTATTTAATACATCTTTAAACTAAGTTTGCGATTACAGATATCAGACACTTCCTTTGGAGGTATGCAAACATTGCAAATGGATTTTTGACCAGTACGCTATACAGATCTTCTCCATATCCTTCAGGTTTTTCAGCTCCCTCCAAAGATTTTGAACTCCATTCAGGTCAAGAGAGTGGCTAGGCTACTCCAGGACCTTAAGATACTTTTTACTGAGCAACTCTCTTAGTTGCTTTGGGTTTGTGCTAGAGGTCATTGGCATTGGGAAGAGGCTGGAGTTTGTTTGAACAATTATTCAGATGAGTTCAAAAAAGGTATAGCTAATAATGAGTGGAAAACAGGAGGTAACAGGCATGCGAAAGCATGTATTTCAAAATGTATGGAGAGACATAACCGAAACCGTTGAGAATACCTAGAGGGTAATAGAGACTATAAGTGCTGGTGTTGTTCTCCATGTTAAAATGTCCTTAGGCAATTTTTGTTCTTTGGGTGCAGCAGAAGTAAATATTTGAAATGCTTTGCTAAAGAAATGTAATTGAAAAAAACCCTACACCTGTTTTGGAATTTCTCCAAAACCATGTTCTTTAAGGTAAAATGGTGTCGTCTACCTGATAGGTTTGTTTTTTTGAACCAGAAGATCCTTTTCATGTCATCAAAGCTTTTCCATTTTTGAGACGATCCAACCAGTCCTTTAAATTTCAGTTCAAGCCCACTAGAACAGACAGGCACTTGTGTAAAACATTGCATACACATCAATATAAAAACACACGAAAATAATGGTCATGCTGCAAGTTCTGGCTTACATCATCCTTTTTGTAGATTGTGCTTCTTCAGATCTGGACAAAGAGTAGCGAACTTCTGCAGGGAGTTCGGAGACATCTTTGAAGTTAATGGAGTGTGGCAACCTATCATCAGTAACCTCCCATCTAAGAGAGAAAAACTTTTCTTTATCTTTTTCTTTTAAGACATGTTCATACAAGCTTCTGTAATAGACACTTACTGGTATTCATTCTTTCTAAGTTCTAGTTCTTTGTTTCGGTGGTCAATCAGCAGGGAATGTTCCTCCTCGAAAGCTTTCATGCCTTTTAGGTACAGAAAAAATAAAATGTATTCATTATTGTTAGTAATAAATATTCTTACATATGAATAGATCGATAAATTAAAAATACTGTTTAATTTACCTCAAACTATATACTTTTCAAGAATTGACCACCAGGAGCTCCTCAGAAATTTCCAAGAACTTACCAGCTGCTATCCTAAAACTAGCCATTTAATTTCAAGAGACTAACAACATTTTCTAGGAACTAAGTCATTTTCCTGGACTGAAGGGTTATTATACCTATTCATAGGTTTTGGATAAGCTAGACACCACGACTTATGAGTAACTAACACTTAACGTATGTCAACGATCATAACTTACCTGTAACTTATGGTTAACATATGAGCATATACTGGCAAAATGACTCTACATATTTGTTGTATGTTGACTAAGCGTGCTAATTGTTTACACAAAATATACCCATAAATAATCCAACGTATGCCAGCATTTTTGCCAGATTCTTCGTACGTCAGGCATACGCTGGCTAAATCATCAAGATGTGACAGGGGCTTTAGCTGATGTAACACGGATTGAACTTAGCAGTAATAAAGCATATGAAATGTTGATTAGAACAGATTTCTTAAAAGAAATTTGGCACCAATTATGAGGGTCTCAACCAACCCACTCTGACATGTTGTCTATAGAAGTCAATATAATGCCATAAAAATCAAAGGCCAATGCCTACTGTACCCATACGTGGCTTTTAATACCATTCTGGTAAAATTCTGGACATTAAGGGAAATAAAAGTTTCCTGGAAAATAACCAGTAGTTTCTATTTAGGCTCCCAGAAAGTGGATTGTAAGCTCTATAAAGTAACATCTAAGTTTCAGAAAAGAGGAATTACAGACCTCTCCCTCCTCTGAGCTCCACATTTTCCCCACGGGAAATCCATCTATAACATGGGAAAACAATGTCCTCCCCTTCTGGAGTCGTCACTTCGATTTTGGAGCAGTACCACTCGTCTTCTGGGAAGATGAAAAAGCGATCTTTCTCCACCTTTAGTAAGAGAAGTTTCCCCAGGGTTGATGTAGTTTTTACAGTGTATGTCCCTGTCTGTGGATAAATGTAATAAAGGGGGGGGATCAATACATTGTGTTAGTAGTTAAAGTATTACATTTATCGTGGGAGGAATGCATATTCAGCTTAAATGGTGTTGTAATTCAATTAACTTATGTTGAAAAGTTAAACTAAACCCAAAAGATATACAGCCTGTGTTTGGCAATATCAGCCGAAACCACAATTGAGCAACATTATGAATGATGTCATTCTATGTCATTTTCTTTTCCTTTATCACTATTGTCAAATTAAGTTTGATGATCTTAGAAATTTTGATAAGTTGTTTCTGACATCTGGTGTGAATTTCATTTTAAGAGGTTTGTTAAGAATACATCCTGAGAAAACCGTCTTTGTGATCAATATTTTACACACTATTCTTGCTCAACTATTAGGTTTTCTTTACTGAGCTAAAGCTACTATATAAATAAAAAACTGCAAGAGAGCATACACTGAAAAGAAACCTCTATTTTACAATAGTTCAATTCAAATCTGCAAGAATCATTAAGCTACATTACAGGTAAAAAAAACAAAACAAACAAACAGCTAGATAGAATTAAAAGCATAAGAAAAAAACACCTTCTTCAACATCAGCTACACATTCCTGCAAACCTGATCAACCTGTCTGAAAATGGTATACAACCTTTAACACACTACAACTTACATTCCCAGTCGTAAAGTCCCTTCCATAATTGTCGAGTTTAACGCATTCACTTTGCCCCTCTGCACCAAACAAGATAACGGAGACGTTGTCTATTGTCCCTGCATACTTCATATCACCCGTTGTCACTTTCAGCTTGTATTCTGCCATTGTTTCTTGGAGGAAACTGTCCAGAAGAAAAACAAAATCGTAAACTTCAATGATTTAAATAACAGGTGTCAACCTCCAGTCCTAGAGGGCTGGTATCCTGCACATTTTAGATGTGTCTCTGCTCTAACACACCTAAATTAATTAATAGAACTTTGCAGAACTTGACTGTAAGCTGAGGAATTAATCATTCCATTTGATTCAGGTGTGTTAAATAATGGATATATCTAAAGATTTCAAGTTACTGGCCCTCCTGGACTTGAGTTTGACACCCCTGCTTTATATAATGTAGGCTATGTCTGGACAATTAATCTCCTTGCTGTTGGAAACCAAAAAGAAATAAAGAAGTCCAAAGAAAAACACATACCTGTCTTTGTTGAACAGCAACAGCACAACCTCTTGTCTCCAGGCTCACTTCAAAATGTGCCTTTGCAACTTTGTCTTGGATACACCAAAAAAGGTGAAGGGGGTGTGCTCAAATTAAGGAGTAACATGTTTATCATGTTTAGGGAGGTTTATTTGCTCTTTCTAGGGCTCTTTCTACTGATTAGGCAACAAACTGCTCAGTTTGTCTGTGTAGTTTTCAGTTTCACTGGTTAGTCTTTCATCTCTGTCGACAAGTTTTATTTCATTTCTTTGACCAGATTTTTCAACTCGATCCATTAAAGTCAAATTTGTGGTGGGAAATGAAGAAATGGCTTCTTACTTTATTACTACCACATAAAAATTATCTTTGTTTGACCAAGCTTTTTTTTTTTATTATTTTCATTTTTTTTATCTAGGCAATGTTGAACAAGGAAAAACAAAAAAAAATAAGAAATTGTCTATTTGAAAAAGCATTTTTTTATACACTACAAAAAAATTAAAGGAACACTGTAATCAGAGTATAGCATCAAGTTAATTAAACTTCTGGGATATTGATTTGGTCAGGTAAGTAGCAGAGGGTGTTGTTAATGAGTTTCAGCTGCTTTGG